TCAGCCGATCCTTAAGTCTAAAGCAACAATAGACATTCTGCATTCCTCAGCAACTTTAATTACCTCTTTTATTTTTCTCCTTGCCAGGGTTGGGTCAATGCCAAGATTAACTGTTTCAGACCGCGTGTGGAGTAATGCTATAATCGCTCTTAATATACTTCTGTCATATTCTGTGTCCATGCTCTTCAAAAGTGCCGAGACTGTTTCTTGATCTAACCTCAACTGATCCGCATTCTCATCACCAGGTAAAAATTCTTGTGTAAAGTGATTCAGGAACATTGAAACATCACATGAAGGGTCGTTTAGAACAACAAACCGCTCGAGTGTAACAGCATGCGTCACAATCACAACATTTAATCCTGTTTCTGGATGAAGTAAAATGTCTTTATTTAGAGCTTCCATACTGTATGATCACAAATGACCTTGCAATAGACTTTGGTTTATCGGCAACCGGCCTGAACACGTACGCAATTTCGCAATCGGAGGCACGTGGCGTCCTGAGGAGAGGGGGTGGGGGTAGGGGGGTTACATTTTGGGCCCGTCACATAAAAAGGGGGGTAATTTTTTAAAATACCCACTTCCGGGGAGGGGTAAATTTTTCATATGCCTGAATTGCTTGAAAATCACCGACCCCCCCTTAGGCATAAATAACGAACAGTCCCTTACTTCGTGAAGAAACAAGAGAGCATTAGTTAGCTATATTATATTCGGTGATAAAGCGATAGAGAGTGATCTCCTTTAATAGTTTTGGTCAATTGAATCAAAGCAATAACTCACAATTCCTTTACTCGCTCTGACGAAGGGCTTAAGCTCGAAACGTCAGCTTTCCAAATTTTTCACGCTGGTAATTCGACTTTAATCAACTCGTTCGATAAAACCAAATTTCGTGTTTCACTCTCCCACTGACGCAGCACCCAGAGTTTCCTTAGAAACAAGTAAATCATTTACTTTCTCACGAGTGTAGCTAAATGTCGTGGGTCGTGGGTAGTGGGTAGAGGTCGTGGGTCGTGGGTGTGGGTGTGGGTAAATGTCGTGGGTAAAAAAAGTATGGAAAAAAATGATAAAAAGATAATAATAATAATAATAATAAATAGAAAAAATGTAAAATATTTATAAAACGAAAATCTCCAACTCCTCGATTGCTCTTTACGCCACGGCTTCTCCTTCGTCCTCTTCCGGATATTTCCTTAGACACGCGGGACTTGGCTCCCCTTTCACACCATCACTGCCATACATGTTGCCGATGGAAATATATACATACCTAAACAGCTCTGACTCGCTGAACGGAAGTGGCTGCTCACTGTTAATCTTTATTCGATCTACAATTCCAGTGATCAGCGGAGATTTCTTAACACGATGGAATGCGATCGCCGTGGGAGAGGGCAGGGAAAAAGGACAATTTTGAGGTATTTCATAGTTTTGCATAGAGGTCTTGTTTTAGGCTAGCTAATAACTTACGAAGGAACCACCTTCATGCTCAACCTTTCAAGTTAAGGCGCGGACAGTATGTAAATTTTATTGCCTTACGTAAATATAATTTTCTCGGTTTTTTGTTTGTTTTGCGAACAAAATCTATGCTGTAACGATTCTAAATATCATCCCTTTAACTGAAAGGACGTTTCAGTCACGAATGTTGACTTTTTTGAGAAAAAGCAGTTCAGTCTCCAGTTTTCTGTAACCTGCTATAGGGTTACATAGTGTACAGAGTTTCTTATTTTAGTGTCTGTTTGTACTAAATGATTTGCTTACTTGCTTTGCTGACCGCAGGGAAGCGGGGGGTAGGACTGGCATGTACACGGAGATTTTCGTTTCATGAATTTTACAACTTTTTGCCTTTTGATTTTTTAATTTTAATTTTTTTTTTGGAAAGCTTTTTTTTACCCACGACATTTACCCACACCCACACCCACGACCCACACCCACGACCCACGACCTCTACCCACTACCCACGACCCACGACATTTAGCTACACTCCTTTCTCACGACCACAATGAGATATTTAATTAAACCAGTCGAAGCCCCGGGGAGCACCGATTTTATCAACCTTCCTTTCAAAACGAATGAACTGGAAATAGCATTGTTGAATTCATTTTTTTTGTCAACCAATTGTTTTTTTTTTAAACAACAAATCTCATGACTAGAGCGTCGGTTTTCCCTGAGGGTTTAGCTCAGTTGGTTGAGTTCAATTGGTTGAGTTCTGGACTAGCGTGCGGGAGATCGCGGGTTCAAAACCCCGGCCGGACCAACACTCAGGGTCTTTAAATAACTGAGAAGAAAGTGCTGCCTTTATAATGACATCTGCAAATGGTTAGACTTTCTAGTCTTCTCGGATAAGGAAGATTAAACCGTAGGTCCCGTCTCACAACTCTACCGGGCATAGAAATGGTCTTTTCAAAAATATGCACGGCCAGATACTTCAAGTAAGATTGAGATTTCAATGACGTTCGACTATTTGTGAAGCCGTGTCAGTACCCGAGATCCATTCCCCTCCTGACTCGGTCGTGAGCAAAAGAGGCTTGGTTTTTCGCAAGTTTTGAAGCCTATAAAATGGCAGGATTTGTTAGAAGAAGGAAAAAATTAAATGACCCCAATGCGTTTCGAACAGGTGCAAACTGATTCATTTAGCGAAAAAAAGATTTTGTGGTGAGGCGCATGTATCACTTGTGGGACAAATATCACTGGAATTTATCACATTGATAGACATAAGCGCCTATTCTCAATGCTGGACAAACAGTGAAAGGAATATGATATTTTTTCCCATTATATTTTTGGAGGCACTGCCGCCCTTCCTTCATTAGGGACCCTTAGCAACGAGAGTTTCACAGCGACGCCGACGTCGGTGGACGAAAGAGACTGAGTCGAGGACGGCGTTGTTCGTAAAAGAAGTCTGGGAAGAGAACTAAAAATACCTGGGCAAGGGTACTACAGGATAGTGAACGTTCGAACACTGCGTAATAGAGTTTTTTAATAATAATTTATGTCGAGTAATGGACGGATCCATCAAAGTAAACTTTCCTCCTGTCTCACTCAAGGCAGAAGTCGTCGAACTGTTTCTTTGCAACATGCATACATGCTTCTTAGCGATTCCTTCAACGGTGTGTTTCGTGAGTGGGTTAGTTTCGATTCCGTTGATCCACTGTCATCGTAGTACCGAGTTACTAACTATATCGCAACAAACTAACCTCGCCGTGGATCTTTACTGTGGTAGTCAGGATGCAATAACGAGACGCAATCATAGTATCCGGGTAGATCAAAGTGACACAGTTTTCTATTCAAGGGTTGAGCATTTTAATGACCTTTTTCCGACCGTTTTGCTTAGTTTGTTATGTAAGTCTATTTTGACATGCAAAGGAAATAAACATGATTTTCTCGTCTCTTTCATTTCCATAATTATTTTTCTCTTTTAGATAGTGATTGCAGTGCATTTCGTTTTAACCATTTGGTAAGACTTAGTGTTCTGTCATCTAAGCTACAGTAGTCATGTGATATCTGCATGATTTTTTCGTTTGTGAGCACAACTTAACAATTCGCAATTAGGAACTCAAAGTTGTTTGGACACCAGCAAAGATGATCGTTGGAAGTGATGGCTAGAAAGGGAACAAATCTATTTTCATGAACGCATTCACTGTTTCTTTACGGCTTCAGTTGATGGAAAATTAATGCAATCCATTTATATGTTTGTCAATTTATTTGTCATTTCAATCAACGTTCTGTCTTTGAATGTCAGTTAATCCTTCAGAAGCTCTTGGTATTTACTCCAATGCATCAGCAAAAGTTTCTAATTGCTGAATTTCAAAATCACCACAGCTGGTGTGAAACCTTTGCCTCTACACATAGTGGGGCAATTATTTTGGCCCTATATGTGTTATAGTGAAAAATTGAGAAATCCACACCTCTGTTGTTTATGCAATGTATGCTGTATTAAACTTGATTTGATGGAGACGTACGTATTCCCTCCCTTCTATTTGTGAGTATTTTTGTGGTCACTGTTTTTGTATAATTACCCAATTAGGCACAACTATAACCTTTTGTTCAACATATACATGTAAATAATAATAATAACGAGTCATTGTTATTATTATTGGACGGGTACAGACTTAAAAATAATGTTTGAGACTGTTGAGGAGACAGGTACATAAGGCACAGACAAACAAATGCAAAAGATGCACTGGAATCGACCAAATGTGATAATATTAAACATGTTTTGACAGAATTTTTTTATTCATTTCAGGGTTTAATTTGTTTTTTTTTGTCCAAGGAGAGAATTTTTGCTTTGTAACAAACTTGAAACTTGGTCTTTTTGTGTCAATCCTTGCATATGATTTAAAGCCTTGCTTTTTTACTTCAAACAACTGTCGCATAAAATTAATGTTTTGCAAAATTTATTAGGTAGTCATAAATATTAATTTTATTCTGCTGGAAAATATTAAAATGGGAGAAATGAAAAACTTTGTTTGTTTTTTATTATTAAAGGGGGGATCAGATAAGGTGGCTGCCAGCTACATATCTGTTTTGCAACTTATTGGTACTTGCTGTTGGAGTCTGGGCAGTAGCGTCTCCTGAAAATCAAGATGCCTCACAGTTGGTATGTATGAGATTATCCACTGTTAACATTCAAACACAAACAGCATTTGATCTGTTCGATTTACACATAATTTATATGGATTTCAGATCAAATGAATTCAACCTACTTTGATTTCTGATTTCTTGTGTCTGGCATTCATTACCACAAGTACAGACAAACGTAGGTTGAAATCCATTTTGACCTACAACATCTATATTCAATAATTATAGTAATTATAGTACTACAGGGCATGAAATTAGCTCTAATAAGTTGCAATGCTGTTCGTTTTTGATAGCCATGATTTTATGTCCTGTATTAGGGTAATATCAAGTGTAGCAAAAGTACAAGCAGCTACTGTTATACTTTCATCAGTTATGATTCCCCTGTAGAAGAGGAACTGTATTGGAGAACAGGATTAATCAAGGCCCCATGGCCATTTACCAGACATTTACTTGTAGTCTTTTTGACAACCTTTAAGGTTAATGCTGCATCTATCATGTTAATTATATCACTGAAATTAATGTTTTGACATGTGGTTCAAGTAAATTTAAGAAAACCAGCTACTTCTTTAATATTCTTTTATTTGAAAATTATGGTGAAATGTTTTTGTTTCTTTTTACCCTAAATGTTCCAGTTTTTATGTGGTATGCTGTTTACAATCTTGCAAGACATCATTGTTATAGCAATCTATTATGACCCTATATCCTTACCGTAAGTAGAGTAAATTAATTATTCATGGTTGTTCTCAATGTTTTTGTTGGCATGGTGTTATTGAGGTCGGGGTGTCAGAGACGTCAGACGTCAGATTGGGTCTCTATGGTCAATGTTGCTCTTGCTA